CACTGAGTGTACTGAGTGTACAAGTTCATGACAAATTTTCACATCTGTGCTGTTTAAACTCCTGGAGGACAAATGCCCTGGTTGCCCTGGTCTTTAATGGGGAGTGTTGCTCAGCTCGTCTCTACAGAATCTCTCACAGCAGCTCAAGAGCGTTAAGATTGAGTGAAATACATGTCCACTGAAGGATTTTCACCTTGGGAGAATGAATATATTCATTGTTATGCTGAAAAAATGCCCAATAATGCAGGGAAGGAGGGGAGGGTAGCATCTTCTGTTTCAAGTTTTTGTATTACATCACAGTGGTGTGCAGTTGGCCAGCATTGATAAAGCACAACTCCCTCACACCTTCAGCACTCATACATCCCTATAGAAGAGCTTTACTACCACTGAATACCACTGTGGGAACCAAGCACTTCTCTCTGTACTCCTTCTCTGTACTCCTCCTCTGACTTTGTTTTAGATCGCTCAAATTAAGTTACGGTGCTCTGCATCTGTTTAGACGTTCGTCAATATTACTGTGCCAGCCTGGAGTTATACAGTATTCTGCCTCTGTTTTTACTGTACATTAAAGTCTGCGCCATTAAGGCTTGATATAATTTAAACGGATGAGTTATAAAAATATTCACCCCCCTCACAGTTGTCATGAAGGGCAAAATTACCTATATAGACCAAAAGCACTTTTTGTACCAGGCTGTAAACATTTTTTTCTGCTGTAAAGTTGGGCATTTTAACATGGGGAGTCTATGGGACTGACTCCCTTTTGGAGCCAGCCTCTAGCGGTCAGTCGATGAATTGCAGTTTTAGTCACTTCCGTATTGGCTTCAAGCGAGAGACCGGGAGGTTGCCGATTGGATACAACACGTAAAAAGACAGTATAAGTCATTATAATCCGTAATTATGTCCCCACTGGATGCAACAAATGCCTCGTTTATAATGGGTTTTAATGTTTTTGTCTCATCGCTCCAGCCGGACAGGGCATCACAGTATGGTAGGGGCGTAACATTTCCGTCACACGCTTGAGGTATTCGGCCAATCACAACGCACTGGATAGCTGGCCAATCAGAGCACACCTCGCTTTTCAGACCGATGAGCTTTGTAAAAATCGACGCGTTTCAGAAAGGCGGGGCATAGAGGAGAAACAATAATGTACAGTATGTGGAAAATAATGTGTTTTTTTAACCTTAAACCACATAAACACATTTCATTACACCAAATACACCAAATAATGTTCTTTTTAGCAACATCATATGACCCCTTTAAGCATAGCCTCGAAAAGTAGTCTGTGTTATATTACATTGTGCAATGCCACTTAACGTACCACATTCTCTTGTCCACATCGTAGCAGTACAGGTCTCCAGCCAAGCCGTATTTATTGGCACTGAAAGCTTTATAGCCTCCATGGATGTAGATGGAGCGGGTTTGAGGGTCGTACACACTGCTGTGCCCATAGCCACCCTGAACCAGCGCCCCACGAGTCTCTAAAACACTCCATGTGTTTTTTACTGCAAAGGGAAGAGTGAAAAGTACAGGATGAGAGTTAGTGAAGAAAGAAACAACTGGTTCTCCTGAAAAAAAATATTTGTGATGTTGCTCTTCCATTGCAACACCAGAGGGCAGTAGAGTAAACACAATTACTGCAAACACACCAGAACAGGAGGAAGAACTACATTAGTATGTATGACATTTTGAGTCAAAAGTCTAATTGAATAAATGCTTGTTTTACCTAGCAGGGGTTTTGTATGTTGATTTCAAACCACATGGGAATCCATTCACCTTTAGAAACCAAAGTGAAAACCGGCCCCAGTCTCCACTCTCTCTCTCTCTCACACACACAAACGAATGACAGCAACATCAATCATGAAAACAACTGCACAATTTTTTTTCCCAACTTCAAAACATTTTACACCGACTGAAAACTAATATCAAAAAGGGGCCTCATTTTAATTTTGTGATGAATGACAGAGTCAGTCTCTGCGGTACCTAGCGGTCTGATGCTTCAGATAGAAACTGGGTCACAACTGTTCACTGTGACTTTCAGTCCATGGTAGCACTCAACTCTGAAAAGGATTAGGGTGCTTTCACATAGGATGAATTCTTCCTTTTAAACAGCTAGACTGAATGAAACAGAACACAGTTGTCCTGAGGCGTTTTTAAAAGATGCTTTTTTCTTGATTTTAAAAATAAGTTTTTCATAAGCCATCTCAAAAACATAATGTGCATGATGCAAGATGCTGAAAAGGAAAACGTGGTGTAACAGCCATGTATATGAACAGAAACCAGTAATTAAATTAAAGAAATATCACAGAAGGATGTACAGTACTTGGTTGATTTATCTGTCGAGTAGGGCTGGGTGATAGAGCTAAAAATTTATCTCTCAATATTTTTGCCAAATTTACTCTTTATTCAATCCTTAATTTAATATTATTATTAAAATTATGGCAGCAATATTCAACATAACGCCCAGCCCTGTGCACTACTGACCAATGTTGTACTGCTGCACTTGGCTGATGTATCCGTAAAGAGGGCAGTGTCCGAACACGACCAGTATGACGGGCTCCGATTCGTCGAGATGGACAGTGTGTGCAGAATGGCCCACGACGGCATACTGTTCTTTAGCATGCGGATTCAGCAGAACCCACGACTGGTTCCGCGTGTGGAACACCCACAGTTCTGATGTCACGTTTCCTGTGGAGTCAATCTTCCCACCGTACATGTAGATTTTATCCTGTATGCATGCACACAAAGACAAAAAACTCATGAAATCACTGTTCTTGAGAAACAGCTCTCAGTTCAGTGTATGTAGGGAATGAATACAATGGACCGTAATGAAGACATTAGAATAGAAGAACACCATTTAACAACCTGTCATCCATTAACAAACCTCATGCAGGGAGAGAGAATGACCGTAGCGTCCAGTTACATAGTTGACGGACCAGTTTAACAACATCCAGCTTTGAGAGGAGATGTTGAACCTGAGGAATAGACACAGAGTAAAGGAGAAAGTGAAGCTGCAAGCCTGTAAAGTTATTATGCTCCAGTGTGTCTTGGTTAAGTGAGTGCGTGTGTGTGTGTGTGTGTACTCACGCAGTCACCATCTGGTAGTGTGTGTAGTTGAACACATGTCCACCTATCACCCACATCACGTCTTCATGAACCACAGCCTTATGGGACGCCCGCGTCAAGCCATGCCCGCTGTATTCCTCACGTGTCCAGAAGGAAACATTTGCTGGTACAGTTATTGAACAGTCCAGGCCTAAAACACACAAACACACGTACTTTAATAGTTAAGCAGTGGAAGTCAACCTTCATTCAATTTACTTTAAAAAAATGGTTAATTGACTAAATTTAAAGAATTATAAAACCATAAAATTAAAGATACACTAAAGGGCTGTGCTTGCAAATATAAAACATTACAGGAAACCATGGAGGAGCTTGAAACATGAGTCAGTGAGGCTCAACCTGTTGTTCACAGATTGGTGATTATTAAACACTTCCACAAGAGAGGAGAGGAGACAGAGATGGAAAGAGCTCAGATATGAGAGAGAGACCTACACCTTCATGGCTCTGAGCAGCAGTACTCCCCCTAAAACTGAGGTTTAGTGGCTGCTTGCCATAATTACCGGAATTACAATTAAAAACAGTTCATGTCTTCGTCGACCTTGCAATTACAAGTTAGAAACTCACAATTATGAAACCTCAGACTTGTGATGTAATATACAGTCAAAATAGCAGCAGCCTCAACAGTTATTAGTTGTAAGGAGGAACACATTTCTTTCATATGCCATTTTATTGTAGCTGATTCTACCTGGTGCACTTTTCTTAAAGGGGTCATATAATGCGATTTAAATTTTTCCTTTCTCTTTGGAGTGTTACAAGCTCTTGGTGCATTGTTGCCGCTGGGGCCATGCTGTGTGTGTGCTGTTGGTATCATTATGAAAATTTGTTTGGCCTTCCAAAAGAGGACGATATCTGCTTCGTCATGCCTGGAGCTGATCCGTGCTGGTCGCTGAGGAAATACATCAACTTTACACTGTGGATCGCCGGATCAGCTTTCATAAACCGCATAAACACATTTCATTACACCAAATACACAAAATAATGTTATTTTTAGCAACATCATATGACCCCTTTAATATTTCACAGTTCTCGTGGGTACATTTTAATGTTATAATAAGCACTGCCATAGAATCAAATAATTATTGAGTTTGAGGTGGTGAACACAGTAGAGTCTGTGAGTAACTGGATGTTTCTTCATCTATGGGCATTTTGGCCCTGACAACTAGAAAATAAACTTTTTGAATATCCTTGGAGAAAAGAAAAAAAAATTTGAAAGGTGAATTTCATAGCTAGAATTTTATGCATCCTAAACACATAAAATTAAATAATGTTTAATAGCAGCTTGATTGGGAATGGCACACAATAAAATATTCTATAATATTAACCTTTTTAAATTTTCTGTATTTTCCACATGCATCATATGACACCACAACTGTGGAATAACCATGTCTGAAAAATTGCTATAGATTAGTTTCAACCTATAAATGGGTGGATGACATGACATGCAGTTCTACCTGTCCATGATGTCATATACTAATAAAAATGGGTATTTGTTAAAAATTTATATCTTTATGTTGTTCCTCTGACAAGATATTATTACAGCATACCATAGCTTTACTGGTGTATAAAGACATCTACTTCAAATTTTTATCTAAACATCAAAATTGTCATTGACTGTCCGGGCTATGTGTGACCTTACTAATATGACAATATATCTCAGCAAAATATAAATAATTGATAGATTTACAGTTTAAGTAACAGAATTAGGCATTTTTAATGGACACAGAAAGTGTTGATGTCTGTGCATGATTTTAAAGCAAGTTCTGGCTAAATACATTTTGTCCGTAAAATGGGCGTCATATGGTGTGACATTACAATCTGTATTTTGAACGGGCAATAATTTGGGATCCTTACAAGCACACTTCAAGACCTTCACAAAGTCTTCAATGATAAGAGTGATAAATTGCACAGAATGTCTTACAGGCAGTTCACCAGATACAAACCATTCTACATCACTCAACCAAAATCATGTGATCGCAACACCTGTGCATGCCATCAACATGAAAACATGAGGCTTCTGATTGCAACTCTTTCAAAAAGAGGACTAATAACAACAAAAAGTCTTTCGACACTGCTGTCATCCATATGCTGCAGCACAGATAATGACTTGTGCATGAGGTGGCAATGCACAGAATGCTGTTTTGAGGAGGTTAAGTTCAGAGGGCATAATCCTGCTGAGAGGGTCACATGGGAACAGCGGCAGAGAGAGCCTATTACAGTCGGAGAAAAAAACTACAAGAACTGGGTTAAAAGAACCAAAGTGGGATCAATTGGAGAACTGCTAGGAGTGTTCCAGAAAGACCTTGAGGAACTGGCTAGTCATCACTACAACTGGATTCATCAAGTTAGAGAGTTGAGACATCTGTGGGTTCCCAGAGCTATGCAACTGTATCACATTCTCTGAGACATGATGAAAGGGCAGTGTGGGCTCACATCAAGCCAGTTATAGAGGACTTTAAGGAAAAGAGTGATCATGAAATTGATACATTCCACTGATGTTTAAAGATACCATGTGAATCTGTTATTATCCATTATTATCCCATGGGTATCCATTATTACTAATACTATAAAATATCAAATAGTGATAATATTTTTACTGTTTAACAATTATAATTGTTGTTACAACACTCTCTCTAATCTTAAAATGTTCATGTTGAAGGTTCTTGGCGTTCCCCAAAACACCCTCGGACCCCAGAGGGTTAAGCACCTTCTCAAAACAGTTCTGAAGCATGATTTTTGTTTATGTTTCCTGACAGACACCAGTAAAAACATAAAAACACCAGCGATGCATTTATTTTTGAAACGTGCAATGTTCAGTTTATTCAACGAAGTAATAACTCAATGTATGGGAAACACTGGACACTGCTATAAGTCAAATGGCCAAGTGATAATAAAAATAAAAAAGTTCACACATATTACACAGCCTGCTGCTCATAACTGCACTGGCCACGAGCGATGACATCGTGGATGCTATTGTTGGACCTACACACACATTTCATGAAGAAAGTTAACGTGCACATTATAATCAGCCCAGAAGTTTCGTCTGAA